CTTCGGATTTGTAGTTGAATAAATATTAATTTACAACTCTATTATTAATGTAATTTTATTGCAGCAACTGGTTGTGACCCCAAGTCCTGTGGACATTGGAGGAATAACCTTTTTCGGGCAAAAAAGAAAACATGTTGACGACTGTGACCTTGAGGAGGAATAGTATTGTGTGGAAACTTTGTGTAGTTAAGAGCCACAATGTGAAGCTTCTAATCAATATTCTGTTTTCATTTATGGGATATTCGGTATTCTAATTTCTTTCAGGTTGATATTGGAACTCCGTTTCTAGGTTTTCCTTATGGATTTTCTCCTTTTTTGTTCAATTAAAATTATGGAATACAGTAGTGTTCTTCGAATACAATCTTTTCTTAATTGTTGGATAATTTTTCCCTTATGAATTGTCTTCTTTTGTTTTTCAAGTTTGGTTTAGCAGTGCCAAATCAATCTCAAGTTAAGTCGAGTCTCAATGTAGATCTGTATGCCATGAATGAAAGCTCATGAGAAGGTTAGTTGCATTTGTTTTGACAATTTGATTGTTAGTGTTTTTTCCCTTCTTACTACCCTAATGATGTGTCGTCACTTTGCACTTCAATTTGGGAATCATTGCACTTCAATTTGGAGGATTGGAGTTTTGTATAATTATATATGTCTACATGATTATGTTAAACCAACTATTGATTGATTACTATTATGCTTCATTAAATTGAAATCCAAAACGGATGCTTGATAGCGTTTATATATAGACCCTATTTCATATAGTTGTTTTCCACGAAATAATATCTTTTAATATACACATATCTTTAAGTATAACAATTACCTTCAGATTATGCTTCAGGTTCATAACGACACCGGCCAACGGGCCGGGCCCACTGCTAGTTGATACGAAAGCAAAGGATCATTAAACCCAACTAGTGGTTGAATCATCAACAATGAAACACCGAGTCTATAGGGTATGCCTATGGTGACATTCATGTCACCGTAACTTACACTTTTAGGTCAACCTAATTTGCACTTTTAAGTCGACCTTATATACGATTAGGTCGACCTAATATGCACTTTAGGTCGACCTTATATAGGATTAGGTCAACCTAATATGTCGTTTCAGTTTTGTGAGGTTCAACGACGCGGTTGACCTTTTATGCAAATGGTCGACCTCTTGGGAAGAGCATGGATGGCATGTACGACTACATGGGCCAGATTTCCACCCATATGACTGGCTCACTGGCATGTGCGATTACATGGGGCAAATGACCACCCAGATGAGCACACTGCAGGTGACCGTGAATGAGATGCGAGATGAGTTTCGATCTTTCAGTGGAAGATATATGCATGTCACCGTAACTTCCGACTACCATACACCAATGAAGAAAATGTGGATGAGGGAGAGAGGAGACAAGAGTAGGAACTCGGGGATTTTAGATTGTGTGTTTTTATTGTTAAGTGTTAAAAACGATTGTGGATTGATATTATGTGGTTGTGGATTTTAGTTATGTGTGAACAATTATGATTTGTGTTTTATTGTATTTCTTATTAGTTTGTTTAGTAGTTATGTCATGAAGTTATGAGTCCTTGTTATCATTATTTATGACTGATTCTGTTGGTTTGAAACGTAATTTGTACGAGCAAAAGAACCACCCACATCGCTTACCAAAGAGGTCGACCATTTGCTATAAAAGGTCAACCGCGTCGTTGAACCTCACAAAACTTAAACGACATATTAGGTCGACCTAATCCTATATAAAGTCGACCTAAAAGTGCAAGTTACGGCGACATGCATGTCACCGTAACAAAGTCCGAGTCTATAATATTGGACATCGAATTGTTAAATATGATCATTGAAACCCAGTAGTCGAATCAAAATAGATAATGTTTAAGAGACGGTTTGGATCAAAGATTTCATCTCATTTGACAAATGAATTCCTACATTTAAAATATTATATTTAAATCTTTAGAAATAAATTAAATGAAATTCTCAAATCATGTTTGAAAAACATTCATAATTAAAATAAAATAAAGTTTCCAACGATACCCTTATTATTCATTGGAGATCCATCTTCCAAAAACACAAGTGTCAAAATTATCATCCAACCAGTCTGACAAAGTATAAATGAAGTTCTCAAAAGGTAGTAAACAATTTGAAGATCCATCTTCTAAAATCTTCATTATAAAAAAAATAAATCTTCATTATAACCCATTTTTCTGTTGAGTCAAGTAGGGGCATCTGGTTCGGTAAACCTGAACAAAACCAGACCAAAACCGAGTTAAACCAAATCAAACCGAAACCAACCTTTTGTTCTTTGGATCAGACTTCTGAAGAGAAATATGGGTAATTTGAAAACCAGCGTTCTCTCAACCGAACCAAGATTCTGATTTCCGAACCGAAAACCAAAATATGCACCAACAGTTGATATGTTATGATCCCAAACCCAAGCCCAAACCCACAAGCCCCTTTGGCCTTTGCCTATTGAAACCCTAGCTCAGTCCCAACCCCCATTGGCCCATCCCGCAAACCCTAGACCAGACCTAACCCACCATCATCCCATCTCACCACACTACAGTGGTCGCCACCCACCATCCCCTCCTTCCCCTGCCTCTTGCTCTCCGACGGCCGATGCCATCAAGCCATCACCTCTGCCATCTTTTCCTTCATGCTTTTCCACCTCCTTCACCGCCGGGTCAACCTTTATTCCTTTCTTCGCCGCTTTCTCTTCTCTGCCACAGCTAGGGTCTTCTCCACCTGAATAAAAAACAGAGACGATGCCACTGAAGCTCGAAGGAGAATACAAACCCAAAAAATATCATGCATGCTTGGATTTGAACTCATACAAACCTTCTTCGTCGAAGTCATCACCATCGTCGTCGTGAATCGCCGCCTACCGTCGTCCGTCGATTTACTTTCTTCATTTTTGAACCCTTAAAGATCCGCATTGCTTCGAGACTGGAGACAGAGGAAAGATCTCTACCGTCGCGGCAACTACATTGTGCTTGTCGTCGCCGCCGCCTCATTACTTGGTTGGAGGGAGAGAGAGAGAGAGAGAGAGAGAGAAAGGGGGGAGAGTGAGTATCCGAAGTCAGAGAGAAGCGATAAGATAGGGTAAAAGTAAAATGAGGCCTCCTTCCGTTTTACCCAACAATAGAAGACAAAACGCAGGAGTCAGAATGGCAAAACGTAAATAACTAACAGTTTCGGTTTTTGGGGGAAAATCAAACCGAACCGAGTTATAATTTGGTTCAGACAAACCAAACCGAAATATAATTCAGTTCGAATTCGATTTGACTTGCGGATTAAATCAGAACCCCGATAGTGGTCTGTCTGGTTTGGTTTGAACCAAACCGATCGAATGCCCACCCCCTAGAGTCAAGGGAGCTTGATCTCGTCATCACAAGCTGACATGATTCCAAATGGTCAACTCTACACGTTTTTATTTCTTGCCAAAGAAGCTAACAAAGTTGAGAAGAAGAAGGGTAGAATTTGGCTGTCATTTTCCGAGTTCATGGTACCTACTTTGGAAGCATGGTTCTCTCAATTGGCTTGGTGGAAATTCAAGGTTAGGTTCTTGTTTTAAATATAAAGTTGTCATCTTTCCAATGGTATGATTTTTGGATCCAGATAAAGTCATTAAGGGTGTTTTCCAAGGCCTCAAAACTGGAAAACTGCCAGAAAATTGTTAAGTCTGGAAACGTGTTTGTGAAGCCTACTTTGGAGCTCAATTCGAGGAGCATGGAGTTGATTCGAGTTCAGAAGCTTTCGCAACATGAAAATAGGTATTTTTATCTACCAAGGGAAGCAATTGGATGAAAGATCGGAGTTCTGGAAGTCCTTGAACGAAAGGCGTGAAGTTCATACAAAAGCTGCTTTTGGATTGTTTGCTGGCAGCTTACTTGTGCTTCAAAAAAGGAAGTTTAAACCCGAATTTCGAGTCCTTTTTACAGTATATGTTTACCTTAATTGTTTTCTAGTTCTATTAGGTTTGTATTAGGTTTATTTGCCTTTAAATACCTTTCTAGTTTTCGTTGTAAAGCAGAGAAGATTATTGTTGAATGAAAATTGCTCCTACGTGAGTGTTTTGAGTTCTTGAGTGTGTCTCGAGAATTTACCTATTGTCTTTAGCTTCGAGTGGATTCCGTAGCTAATTTCAATACCCTTGTTCAAGCTATTCTGTGGAGGATTCCAGAATCGTTTGGCAAGTTCCCATATCAATCGAGTAATCATCTTGATTGTGGCGAGAATTCTACTTTTCCATCATTATCGTTCAATTATTTGTGTTAGCTGCGTATTCTTATCAAAAGCACCCCTGGTGCTTTATCACAAGCAGAGTAAAATATATAAAAATAAAAGACCATCAACAAAATTTCCAGCATGGATTGCCCATTGATATCAAGCAAAGAAAAAACTAAAAAGAATAAATATCATAACTAAAAAACAAAGAACATCAATCTCCATGAAACATAAACATAATCGCAAGAACAATATGTAAGGGTAAAACTGTACAGGTGCACTATATATATAAATATAACCTAATGGGACGATGACTCATGTTTATTATGAGTAGTAGCAGCATTGAAGCTTAACAAAAGGATGAAATTGAGATTTTTCATCCGGAAAGCACACAAAACAGGGTGTAGGATACAAACAATGATTATTGATTAAGCACCGACTGAGCGAATAAGGTTAGACACAAAAATCTAGAGTACCGCACCAATTGTGTATACATATGGGTAATTTACTTAATAATTAGTTATTTTATCATAATTAGTAAAATACTTTGATAATTTATTTAAAAATCTCATCTCAATCCCTCGAAATTGCTAAAACTAATCCGAATTCCACATAATCAAAAATTTAGAATTGCATATGAATTTTTTTATATTCCAAATACAAAATAGTTTCATTTCAGATGAAAATCATTTATACCAAACGATATGTAAAAATGAACAGTCGAATGATTAACGATCATTTATACGAAACCATATGTAAGAATGGACAATCGAATGATTAACGACGAAACGTGGAATCATGATAAGTTTGATGGCGGAATAATCAACAGGTTGGGAATTGAGCAACAACGGACAACTGGAATATGTTCAAAACTAAACAACTGGACATATTCAGCAGGTGCCTTCTGCACCAGCCAGGAAAAATCAGCGTTTTCCACTATACCTCTGACCCGGAGGAATGACAAAGTCTGACGAACCTTAGTTTGTATTGCTTCCGAGGTGTTTACCATTGAGGTGATTCATCTCCCCCAGCCCCCAACCTTTAAGTTTACCTGTTGCATAGCTATAAGTAATTCGAAATGTTGCAACTGTGTAACATGCCAGATGTACCTAATGCTAATAATAGCACATTCCACGATAATGCTAATAGCACATGCCAGATGTACCTAATGATAATAACGTCTCATTTCCCTAAAGCCTACCCCTCTTTCTTCCCCAGGAAAGCTTATCCACGATCTAGACGGCTCAAGTCAACCAGGATGATCCTTGAATACACTCTTCGTAATCGTATCACCAAATCCAGTCATCTCTGTCGGAGCTATCCTCTGAGCAAATGAGTGGATTCTCATACTGAACTTTAGCCTGGCTGATCCACGAGAGAAATTTGGCAAGCGCAAAGACCCCACAGCAAAGGAGATTTCCAGTCCTTGCACTACAAGATGACAATGATATTCTGTTCTTGAACCATTTCAAACTCCATTCAAGAGGGATAGACATAAAGAGTCATCAGTCTCTTCACTTTTTTCCATCAAGACAGCAGCAGCAGATCTATCAAGTGCTATTAATAGATCGAATAAAGAAAGACTAAAGACTCCAGCAGCCCCTGCTCCATCATGTCATTAGGAATTCACGATAGATCAATTAAGAGACGACCAATGCTTCACAATACTGAACACAGCATAATGAATCAGCAAGGAAATGCACACACAACGTGGAAGTTGCGACCAATCTGTTTAGGTTCGGTATGCAACAAGTGAATACTTGAGACAAGAAATGAATCGTAATCTAAGGACGAGACAAATTTTTAATCGAGTTCGTTATGTCTTTCCCACGAGTTAGGAACAGGTTGGTAGTGAGAATCACAAATCTAATGAAAGTCAACTTTACCAAAATAGAAGACTCGGAACAAAATCGATGGTCATAGTAAGTCTGATCAAAACACGAAAAGGAAAAAGCACACAAGGTCCCTCTCTCTCTATGTTCTGCATGCATGTCATGGATAACTACTATAGCCTACTAAGCCAACTCGTGATCTACTTAATTGGGCACAGATACTCAAGGAGCAGACGACGAACATTCTTATATAGATTCAAAGGAAGACAAGAAGTTCATCGGTAATGAAGGGTATTCATCAGGATTATGCAACAAAAATGAGCTAGCTACTGTAGAGCATATCAGAACCACAACCACAAACAACTCCAGTGCTTTTATACATTAGATGAAACAAATTATTAATCGTGCATGAAGAGGTACCAACTTACGTACCTCACCAAGGCCAAGTTCTTCAATATCACAGAGAGGGCGACTTGAAACGGTTCCATCGTGAGGGCCAGCAGAAAAGCAACTTTTGTATTGAATGAATAACTCATCTTTAAATCTAACTCTTAGAAAGAATTGACATACATAACATGTATGGGACGAAATTCTGGGAGTTCATAAACATCATTCTTCTCATCTTTTGGTGCTGTGCATAAGCGGGCTAATGTAAATTGCCAGTATTCTCCTTTTCTACTACTGGTTACAACCTGTGGATGAACTACATGAAGAATTTGTGTGTTCATGTTGATTCATGCCTCCTGCAATGTTGGAGCTACAAACTGCCACATTTCTCGTGTTGTTCCCATTATGTGCCCGCCCTTCATTCCTCCAATTCCACTGGGACCTTTTGTTCCACTTCCGTTGCTTAAAATACTTCCTTCCCAGACCATAAGAACCACCTTTTGGGTGATTGAATGCCTGTGCCCCAGTTCGACATGGAATCACAGTGTCAACGATGTTATAACCAGATGTGCCTGCAATAGCATTTTCAATAGGATAACCACCAGACTGGTGGCTGACATGTTCCTGGTGATTTGTGGTAAGACAATCTCGAGTTTCTTCCTTAGGGTAAGGAGTAGGTGGCAATGGTGGAAATGGATGGAACGGTATCCCTGGAGCAACAACCCAACTACTTCCAGCTTGATCCCCAGGTGAGCCGAATCGTTGCACAATATGCCAGGGAATTCCATACGAGACAGGCAAGCATGAATTGAATTTCTTCTGTAGATTCCCAACAACCTCATTCGATGGATACTTCAAAAGAGAAGTACTTTGTTCTGGGAGAAGATCAGCAACAGTGAGCGAGCTATTATCAGAAGCAACCACAGGATTAGATGAGAACCCGGGTGGAGCATCAACAACATCACTCAACGGATACTTCAAAAGAGAAGTACTTTGTTCTGGGAGAAGATCAGCAACAGCAAGCGAGCTATTATCAGAAGAAACCACAGGATTAGATGAGAACCCGGGTGGAACATCAACAGCATCACTCGCTTCATCTTGCCGACAGCAACTGCCTTCCTCTTTCTTCACATTCTCAAATTCCTCTGGTGTCTTCTGAAAAAGATGCTTACTCTGAGCTGGTTGGTCCCACCTGCTTTTCCGCTTGCGGGTCCTTTGACCGACTTCGGTACTACAAGGTGCAGAAGAGCCTTCATTCACACTTCTTTCCACCGAACTCGATGGAACCTCCGACTGCACAACAGCACTATCGGATGAAGCTGTGGAGACCTTTGATTGGCCAACACAATCTACGGCTTCGGTGGGTCTAGCACCCTGATCATGCCGTGGATTATTGTGCACTGTCGATGGTGGCCTATGTCCGTTCGATCCCCTGTGGAATTCCTTCCTCCTCTCGTCCTTATCAGGACAGGTTGACCTAAACTCGTACCTCTGTCGAGGAAACCATTTATCCCTAAAGCTGCGAGCAATTTGATGTACCTGTATATCCATAAACAATTGTCACTATCAAAATAAAGTCTGAGCTTATGGTAATCCGGGAGCATGGAGAATATAGTAATAAGTAATTCAGAAAAAATAGGCAATACAAGAATTTTTAACTCTCTTTCGATTAGAATAACTACAGTATTTCATTGAAATAACACAAGAGGGAAGCTTCAATTTTGTACCTGCTTATCATCGTGCTCCGTTAGGGACAGCATTGATTCTCGAAAGCTGCATGAATCAATTATTAGAATTTATTCCAGTTTTCCCACAAAACATGAAATGCTAGAAGAGATCTACATGGCTGAAGCGACAAAGCTACTAAAACAAGTTGTGTCTCTAAGGGACAAGAAATAAAGTTCAATCAAAGTACAGATCAAGAGAAGACCAGTTCTAAGAGGTAAGGGACAGAGAGAACTTCCCCAAGCCTCCAATTAAGTTAAAAACATGTTCCTTGTCCATGACAATGCCCTACATCAACCGCAACCTATAGCCATTTCCACTCTCATTTCCACACAGAAACAGATAAAAGTTCACTTCAAAACATTTATTCATTGTGTCTAAAATGCAGATGTTTTTCAAGATTAACAGAATTACATGCTCTTTCGGCATATTCAAAGAGAAAACCACTGTACTCACAGAATTAATGAAGTGTACAGCGAATGAAAGCTTTATCATTCTCAATTGTTTGTGTTTTCGCATGAAAGCTTATAGAAACTGCTATTTAAGAGGAGAATTAGTGAGAGTAATGGTTTTCAACATTTATCTTGAAGACAAAAACCCAAACAAATGGAGGTAAAGGATGATGTGTGAAGATGATTATTACTAATGATAGGAGGATAATTTAGAAACCAAGTAGAAATTACTGCATTCTAAAAAAAAGAGATAACTAGCTTTACCTCTCCATGCCCAGCCGGGGAGGGCCGCCATATATATGCTCGGTTGTCAGTATCTCCCTGACCGCCAAATACTCTATAACCTGCATAAGAAAATAGTTAGTGGTACTTTATGGTCTTTGAGCTTCCATGAATGGCCCTCAAAATCAATAATCAACACCCATACTGCTTGCATATTGCAATGAATTAATCCCAACCTAAAATGTTAAACTGAACTTCACACTGAAAGCACACGGCGTCGAACTGCTCTACATCTTCCAATGCGAGTATTGCACTCAATAAAAGCATAACGAATAATCTTTCCACACTAAATGTTCTGGAAGAACTGGCTACATTTGAGCCTGAAACAAATACTTACATCAAACTTTGTATCCGGTTTTTCTAACTGTATTCACACTTATTCTTAAGCAATTGTAAACAGTGATAAGTTTTAGTTGCTTGTCTTATAGTTTAATATGCATACATCTTGCTACAAGTCTCTGCATCAAATGCATTCTATCCTATAACGAAAAAACCAAGAAAACAGATTTGTGGGGAATCTTTTTTCTGTTTCCCATCCTTTGTTGAGGGTATAGGAATTAACCTAATTGCTTGGAATGATACAATAACCACAGAATAGCACATCCCTCTATGTGTACCTTTAGAAGTTTACGGACAATTGGAATCTTCTTAAAGTCTCGTCTATACCGCTTCATTATATTGTGAAGCATCTGCAGACCTGGAAAGAAAGCAAGCAAATTTATGATGAAGCCATTGGCTCTCCGCTAATTTCCAGGTGAAGAGGCATTCGTGCAACAAAATAAGACACACCATTTTTGTTGATTATATCAATCAAGACTGCCCGGGATTTGGTTTTCAAAATTGCATCAAGGATCATGGAGAGATCTCGATTACTGCAACACAAGAAAGTCCCAATCCAGTCAGAAAAAGAGTCTTATCGGATGTTGCATAGGACACCAAAATGAAAATAAGTGAGTAGTTACCACGGACAGAAAAAATGAAAACTACAAACTGATCATATCAAGTACCTTTGGATTCCTTCACCATTTACACCAGCACCGGAAGCAGCAGTAAGAAGCAGAAGCTTCAGATAGCCTTTAGCAGCATCCTGTCAATGAAATAAGCTCAAGGTGATTAATATATTATTCAACTGTAACATGTGAGATCAGTTTGTAAAAGCCACATTCACATCAGAGATGTTGACGGCAAGTATGGAGGTAGAAACGCCAAATGAAAGCAGACAGAATGACAAACAGACGCCTAAGATGTGAATTATATGAATGCGACATAGCTAGCATGGGATACCCGAGCCCAACAGAAAGCTAAGAGTTCAATAACTTTGATAATTAAATAAGTATTCACATTCAATGTAGAGCAGTGAACCTATACCCCAAGGCTCAGAATAATAAAAGCCAAGCAGTTACTACATCAATACACAAAGAAGAAGCTACATGTAAGAGAATAGAACTTGAAAGTAATGCAACTGGTATTCACATTTAACAGACAGCAAAGGTGCTACAACGAGATTACCAAGTGCTGCAACACAGATAAACAAAATATATATATATATATATAAGTGATAGAATCACTCACTTTCCGCTTTGTTATGCCACCCTCGACATCCAACAGCTCATTAAGTTTCTCTTCCACTGCAACAGGTACAAATTATTAGCATCTAAAGCAAATTGTAGACAGAATCGGCCTGCATACTGAAGCAAAAGGAGCTAACCTGTCTCAAGACGACCATTAGGAACACCTTCCATTCCTTTTTTAACCTTAAGAGGTTGCACTTGAAATTTGTTGGGCCCCATCTGAGATTTATTTACAATTTGAGGACTACCATTAAGCTTCCCTTTCTTAGTGGCTCCATATTGATTTTTTATGAGAAAACGGGATTTTACAAAAACCCGCTTCTCTTCAACGACAGATTTTGACTTGTTAGCGACAGTATCATCAGTTGATAATTTTACATGTGTCGTGATAATAGATTTCTCCGACGCCTGCATACAACCCGAGCTTCTGTCTACAGGTTCCTCCATTGAAACAACTTTCTCAATATCAGAGGAGGGATTGCTCATTATATGTTCAGCTTGACAAGAGGTTTCCACTGATGGGCAAGGAGGGTCATTTGCTTTTATATCAGTCATTTCCAAAGAACCACGAGCCTGAGAGATATCAGGAGATTTACTCCTATAAGCACCGACTTTTGCCAAGACCTTGCTTTTTCCGAGAGATTCCACATCCTCATCCAATTTATCCCTTTCTGTTGAAACGCTATCTGTAATCCGTGTTTGTGCAGATGAACGCGCTTTTGTCAAAGATTTTCCACGGTGATCAAACATCACAGGTTCAGGAAATTCTTCATCTGAATCAACTTGATCAATTACTTCATAGTTAGTTGGGTCACCACCAATGTAACCACGGCATTGAGCTGAACCGCAATAGCATTTCTTGGCGGCTGCCCCGAAAACCCTTACATAGTTGTAGTCAAATGTCAGCTCTTCATCCTGCCGAAATTCATGAGTTACCAATTTAGTCAATCAGACACAATTCTATTTGCTGAATTAGTGTTCTGTTTTTGTCTAGATAACATGAGTCTCATCAGTGTCAATTTTGACTCGTTCAATTGACAACTGTGACTGGGAGAGAACCACTATTTCAATGGCAACTGTGACTCGTTAAATTTTTTATTTCTCAGGCTAGTGGCATCCAAAGAAACCCGAAAACATTATAAAGACAACTATATCGAGAAGTGGAACTTTCTAAATTATGAGTGAACAATACACAATCATGGTCCAACCTGTATCTATCAGCAAAGCAAATTGGAAGGCAGCAGCATTTCTAGAATTCTATTTAACAGAATTACACATTAAACAGACAGCAAACATACCTTCTTAATATTCCTCAGTGCAAACAGCCCAATGCAAATTTCTCCATCAACAACCCACTGTTAAAATAAATAAACATTGGATTAAGCATAAACGCAAGGGAAATAAAGCATGATAAGAAGCAACTTGAAAAAAGGAAAAAATAGTAAGATACAGCATAGGGCATTTCCAAATTTAGCACCTTTTCAGTACGGCAATTAGGATCACAGCTGTGGTTAATAAAACGTCCCAAATTTCCTTTGGCACACGCGTCTATTACCTGTACAGTGGGCACACTAAGCTATTAAAGACGTTTGAACTAAGAAGTGGACAAGTGAATAGACACAAGAGAGAGGAATGAGATTGCATAAACGTAACACAAGAAATATAATAAGGAGGAAAATCTTGCAGGTACTCGGGACATGAGGATGATGCAACAGGAATAGCATCTCAACTTTCACTCTTAAAGCAACCATGTTCCTTTGCTTCTCTTTTGTTTTATACTTTTCTTTTCTTTCACCTCTTTTCCTTTTTTGTAATGGTTCAAGTATTCCGGTCACTCAAAGAACACGACTCACTAGAAAAGAGATGTCTATGGTGGGAGAGCATAATATACATACCTCACTGCCATCTAATGTCATAAAGTAGAAATGTTTGTGACCCTTGGCTGCATACTCTTTTTGTCGTGCCTCGTAAGCTCGCATATCAAGCACCTGATAGACCACATTTTAGAAATGGCAAGCATAAGTTAGATGCAATTACATGTCTTTGTGCTTGAGAGAGAGAGAGAGAGAGAGAGAGAGAGAGAGAGAGAGAGAGAGAGAGAGAGAGAGAGAGTCAGTGAATGTGTCCAGCAATGTAAGCATAGGCAAACTGTAGAATGAAGAAAATCTTAAGGTACTTGATAGGCAAAGATGGCCAAAAAATTTTATATGTTTATTAATGGGGTGGCTATATCTCAATGACCAATACAGGGTTACAATAAATACCAGAAAAATTTAGAGACATCTACATGTGTCTTTTGTGCTTTAAGAGAAAGACAGATACAGAGAGTCGGTGAATGTGTCCAGCGATGCAAGCATAGCCAAAAGTTTATCCAACTGTCTAATGAAAACAATACTAAGGTACTCGAGAGTCAAAGATGGCCAAAAGAATTTATATGTTGATTGACGCTTCTTATATCTTAATAACCAATACAGAGTTGCGATCTAAAAGCGTAAACCCGTGCCCGTTATCATACACCTATGATGCAAAATTAAGATATGGTTGAAGTGTACAACAAGTAATAATCTTCTAACAGTCCTAATACTTGTTATAATAAGATAGAATCAATTAGGTTAGATTTTAAACCCAGGAAACAATACTCGTGAATTCCAACTCCAAGTTGGGCTCAAACACAAAATCTAGACACCATTGGGTAGTTTACTCCTGAACAACTCAATCCAGCAGTAAGGAGAACAATGACACTAGAATCAAATCAGTGCAATCCTTCAATTATCCCTATCTTCTTTATTTTACATTCATAATTTATTTTATTCAATCTCCTCGTACCAGTGTCTGCTGCGAAATAAATGCACCTAGAGCATGGGAAAATGAGTATCCTTGAACAAGGCATATTCTGTAAATAAAGTTTCTTATGCAAATGCATGATAGAGACAAAGGAATGTCAGAGAAATACCTCTCCAACGTATTCAATAAGGAAATGCCCTTTAGAAATATCTTCTTGCATTCGCAACCCAAAACCTTTTTTCCCACATCGATCCCACCTCATATTGGCATAAGTTTGCCTTTGGAACTGCACACAAATGCTTGGACTGTCAATGCTCTCTCGAAACTTGTAGTACAGCACAATTTAAAGAGCCATAAGACATACAAATTTGGTACCTGTTGATTTGAACAGAGGTCCCCACAAGGACAGGTGCCATGAACACATTCGATGTTGAGCATTCGATTCAAGCATTCATCTCCACATCCCAGCATGCCATCTACCGGTGGTCGACAATGGCAAACCATAACCTGCATAAAGTTACAAAACAAATTATGATAGTAAAATAACATTCCACAAAAATTTGATTTACCTCCCAAATATGTACACAATTTCTAATAGGCTTCATAAGTCTTACAGATGAAAAATAAAAACCGCTTTCAGTTTAGAGTACCCTGAGAACAGCAATATATGAGATCATTTCCAACTTCAAGCCTTTAAACATTCAGCAATAAGTGATTACTTATCCCCACGAGTTTATCTCAGCCCAGAGTACCCACTACAGTAAAATGGAATGCCAAGAATTCTACAGCCATTAATGCTGAATGACAGACACAATGGCACAACACCTTAGCTCACCCAACTGGATAAAACAGCAAGCTTCATGTGCACACATAATATCAAGTTAACTACTCGTATGCATGTTCATGATTTTTAATGTTTCCATAACCATCAAACAAGAGCCACAAGGAAGTGTAGAACCAGACCTCATCAATGTTTTGAGTCTTACGACGACGGTGCAGAAACTGATTAGTAGAAATTCTTGTAAATTCATGCTCCTTGGAAACTGAATCGATAAGAGAACATCAAATAAGCTCAAAAAATAAGTAAATACTAAAATCCAAACAGATGCTTCCTGAAGCTGAAATCTAATCTTAATATCATATCATTGACGATACACCTCACCTATTTGTCTATTCTCTATCCCTTTATTATTCACAGGGATATCAAAGGCATCTTCATCTCCGTCAGATATTCCCAACTCTGCATTAATTTCTGAATTGGACTTTTCCTGGGGAATGGAGCAATCTGCGTACTTTTTTTCCATGTTGTCCTTGCATGTCCTTGCACACAAACAAAATGGAGTTAGAAGAAATAAATTGAAAGATATAAGTATTCAAATGAGGGGGGGAAAAGTGCCTCGGCAAAAGCTTTCAATAAATGACCTGACAAACAAGCTAGTGCAATTCGAAACACTCCACGGTGCACTTAAATTCAAATACTACAAACAAGTTTGCAAGCGCACTAGTTGCTTAGATTTGGACATGACTGTACCATTCCCACTCAAAAACATATAAATAATCACCTCCTGTCATTAGCTTTCAAAGCTAAGCAACTGATATTGCCAAAACCTAACAGCAGCTTGAAATACATAAATAACAGGTTACAAGCAATGTTATAATTATAGTATCATGAACTTAGAAAACTGGCTCAGCTACACAATTAACAGAGAAAACTCAACCAATCTGTGCTAAGCTCACAACATCAATCAAAATAAATAATTTGTGGAAAGAGAAGTGGTATATTCTATGTTCTTCTTGAAATTCAGTCTCCTCGATATCAAGGCACATAACTGGGTAAGTCCTTACGTATTTGGTGGGGGGGCTGCTTATGAGTTATGACATGAGAAATTTTTAGAGCGCAAAATGCAAAAAGATTCAAGAGTTTAGAGTGCAAATACAAGAGAAAAAACAAAAGAACGAGATAATAAGAGCAACGTGTCGTGGTTTAAGGGAATAGCCAATAGTGGGAAGTACCATCTACGGTCATTTTCTCCAATCATCTGCACCAGTTCAACAGGAATACGTCTCCATTTATGACAATCATCACAGTGCGCCCAAGCACTATCCAAAGGCAAATGCTGCATCGTGGACGTATCCAATGGCTTGCCCGAATCATCGACACTTACGCAACCAAGAACACCGCCCACATTAGCTACACCAGTGTCTTCTTTGATAGTCCCTGCAGCAATACACAAAATAAATGAGCAACAGAATGACCGACCTTTATCCTCGGAGTAAATCTTTAATGTAACGGTACAAACAATGACAGGAATATAGAATCAGCTGATAATAATAAACATCATTATAGAGATTCTTTACCTTTTCCCATGCCACCTTCCACTCCATTATCAGCAGGATCACGAGCAGTTGCATCAACATCACTAGCAGTCCCCTTCTCATTTACCTTCTGTTTACAACTGCTTGATCTTCTGCTTTTCCCCGAAGATGAATTTTTAGACCTTCTCTTCGTAGATACGTCCGATTTTTTTGGATTTCCACTCCCCTTAGCTTTAGTTGAAGGAAGCATATCCTTGGAAGTCTGTGAAGGGGACAAAATAAAATCCATATCGCTGGATTCTCTAAATACATTCAATTTAGTTTCTTCTGATGAATGTAATTGCTCAACAGAAGATTCCTTGTTGCTTGATGAGTTGCCTGACATTCTCTCTGTCAAAGAAGAAGTCATCACACTGTCATTGTAAGACTTCTCTATCTTTGTCTGCCTAACACCTTTCTTCTTGACTGATTTAACTTCTTTGTTTGTGCCAGCAGCAGCTGATTTACCCTTCTTGCCCTTACGGTTTTCGGGGAGAAGCCCAGAAGAAGCTATCGTTTTCGAACTTGCCAAACCACAATCAGGCATATCTTGTGGACATTGTGCTCCAACCTGAATCTCAGGTACTAGATTTATGACTTCTGATTCTGGTGAATTTCCTAAACCAGTACAAACCCTCTCTCTAGATGCTCCTAAGCCCACCCCTATATGAGCATGATCCTGAAGATAATCCCCTGCCACATTTTCAGTTGACTTCTCATTAAATAGAGTGCCCTCAAGCTTATTTTTTGAATAATATGCATCTGCAACAGTAGCATCAAAGTCTGCTCCAAACTTCTCTGATTCCGTGCCCGGAAGAGCTTTGCTCTTCTGTTGCTCAACTTCATCTCTATCAACATTGATCTTTGAGATATAAGAGGTGACATGCTGCCGAGACTCGGTTAGAAGCACATCAGTACCAGCATCCATATGTACTGCCATGTTAACTACCTCTGCCTTCGGGACAATGTTGTTCAAAATTGTTTGACTAACCTCTTTGCCCACCTTAACTTTCAAACGAATGCGAGTAGTCAAAGTACAGCTCCCTCCACCAGATTTGCGCGAGCTTCCACCAGCTCTACTCTTGCTTTGCTTCCTACTTGCTTGCCCCACCCTTTCTTTTAGTGATATACAATTCCCACTTTCATCATCTCCAAGCTCATCAATCACCTTGAAATATTCCATGACTTTCCCCAGTAATCCCCATTCACAAGCTCGGGTACGTTTGGGTAGGCAGCTTCTTTTCCTTTTCTTGAAGTCCAACACTTGAGCTATTCTCTTTCCCTTCTTCGTAGTCTTTGTTGACCGAGTCTTTCGACTTGATCTGCAAGCTCGGCTGTTTCGTGCAGGAGCAGATTGAGTGCGCAGGCATTTGTTTTTTAAAATATACTTAGTTGTGCCCTGGCTTTTATCCTCATTTTCTATCTGTTCAATACATGCATCTGTGCTGACAGACTTCGTGGAACACTTTTGTTCCATCACGAGAGGATGTTGTACCTCCACCCGATTAGAATATCCACTCTCCGCAATGTCACAGGGTTGGCAAGACTCAGGAGAAGAAAATTTCTCAATGGATACAGTGGTCGGAATTTCAGGGCTTCCTTCCGGAAGATAGCAGTTTTTTCCTTCCACACAAAATGTCTGAAGGACATCTTCAACCTTAGCAGTTGAAGTATCAATTCTCTCTTCCAAAATTTCAGAAGTGCTCTCTGCAGAAGAGCTGTCTACATTCCTTTCATTCATTTTCCCATTCTGTAGAGTACAATTACGGAGTGAAACAGGTGTCGGTAAGTAATCCAAGGTCCTTCCACAAGCTAGTGAAGGTAGTACATGGAGAAATCCACAAACTTCTTCACCCTTCCTGACAATTTTTGCAAGCGAAATGTCAGCTTTGTCATTTTCCTGATTAGCATTCTTCTCAGAACCAATCTTAGCACCACTGTTACTTGGTGTTCTTGGGGGAGACTCATCACCATGTGGTGATATCCAAGTGCCTATATCAACTTCTGTGTGAGCAGAAGCATCACTTTCTCCATCCCCAATCCTTTCTGATGTTAAACCACTGATAGTCCTGTTGTCCAGCTCAATTTGTTGAGGACAATCAGTTGATAATGGAACTTCTGATGTGCATATTCTGCCCTCAAGTGAAGATGACAATTGGCCCTCTAAAACACTTCCACCAGCCCCCAAAGGATAATGTTCGTTTTCCTTGATTCCCTCAGATCCTTCTTCAACGGAAGAAGCAGCAGGCTTATTATCATTCTCGTGACAAACATTTTGAACCGAATCAAGAGTTAAGATTAACTTAGATGACTCCACACAACTCTGTGAAGACAACTGGCGACTAGTAGTAGTCTCCAGCCAGTGCAAGGCATCATCTTTCTCGTACACAACCTCTGCCAATGCATTTAAGGAGGAAGAATTAACAGACTGGTCATCATTCTGGATATCCTGTTGAATACAAGTAGGAGGCATGCACGCTGCATTTTCAAAAACTGATGGTAATGAACTCAAATTTTGCCTTTCGGTATCACAGCACCCACCTACTATATCAACATGCTCCTCATCAGTAACAACCAAAACCTCATTAGTAGAGGGATCACTGTCAATCTGTTTGTTCTCTACATTACTCCATTCTCTAGATAAACAATGCACTTCGGCAGGCATTTCAGGACCCAGTGAAGGAAGCAGGTCTTGCTGATTATCAAACTCGGTTGCAAAGAAAGAATCTATTTCCTCCTCCACACCCATCTCAACACAACCACATTTTTCATCCCTCATGCCTACATGTTCATCATTAAGCCATCCATCGTTCTCCACCTTCCCACAACATAATCCATCAGTATCCCCATTATAATCATACTCCACATAACCCCCATGAATCATAGTCAGAGATGGCTCACTAACCTGACATCCGTTCTCCATCAGATTTCCAGGCCCCAAACAGACCGCATTATCATTCCCGACCTCCGTTGCTGCTACTCTATCTTCAACAGACGTAGTAGTTAATGCGTGGGCAGGGGTCACACTAGCACCAGCATTGTCATTTTGGGCCGCTCCCAGAGAGCAATCGAGCACAGCAGTGGGATTCAAATCAGGAGCCGCGGGCGAGGTGTTTTCCAGGCAAGGTAGGCGGTGGTCATCAGCACCCAAATCCTCGACGAACTCCGAGCAGGAAGACTGCTGCTGCTGATCGAACGCAGGTTGATGTACTGGCTCGTGGACCGCAACAGCATCCTCACACGAACCCATCAAGCCTTCCTCAAATATTACTCAACCATTAAGGAAAACAACGAACGAAGAAGAGGATAGAAAAAGAGGACCAAACGAAATTGGTCCGAGAAAAGCTCAAATCCTAAACCCAAACCAAGTGCGCAATGCAAGCCGTAACAGAATCGCTTCAAACCCTAAACTCCAGAACCATTTCCCTTGCGCAAGACCGTCACAACATCGGCGGCGAAAAATCTGTGACCGGCGGCTTAGAAGAACCCTAAGGAGAAAAATCCTCCACTCTCTCTATCTCCGCCCTCTCTCTCTCTCTCTCTCTCTCTCTCTCTCTCTCTCTCTCTCTCTCTCTCTCTCTCTCTCTCTATCTATCTCTCTCTCTTCGCTATCTCCCTGCAACGACCAACAAAAACCCTTCTTCCATTTAGAATCGCTCACGGAAGAATGCAGATTCCTAGAAGCACCTGAAAGCAAAGCAAAGCCGCAATCCGTACAAATTATTATTGCTCAATCTAACGACATGACACAGAAAACCTAGACGGAGAAAGGAAGAAAGAAGAAAAAAAGGAAGAGGAAGGAAGACGAGAAATATAAGTAGGATAAAAGGAATACTTTCCGCATGAGGGATTACAAAAAAAAATCCCCTCACAATTCAACGAATTACTGGTCCATTTCTCGTTATATGATTTTTCTTGTATTTTCCTCCATCGTTGTTTTCATTTTCGAGGTGGATTACTAGAATTATTATTCGTAAATTATATAGAAAGAAGCTTAAGGAAAAGAATAAATCGAAGGAAGAAAATTCACTTCGTTGGTAGTCACGGCTTACGGGGCAAACACACGGGAGAGAAAGCGAGACAGAAATCAGGAATCAGAAATAAATTAATAGGTGGAGAGATTATTAGACATAATTTACCTTTGTGTCGTCTTGTAATTTTTTTTCTATGGGTAGGGATGCCGATTATTTTTCCCAAATTCAATTATATCAATTTACTAGGCTATGGATTTATTCTAAATGGATTTGGTCGATTGGGTAGTTGAAGTTGGGTTCGTATCATGGTTGTCATGTCGATGGAATGCAAATCGGTTGACCTGATTTAATCGGTGCCGGTAATGAAATCAGCGTAAACACCACCCTTATGAACGACATGATCCGTTTACAACATCTAAGCAAAATGACATCGTTTATTGAATTTAACTAATAAAAAGGTAATTTATTATTTATTTTATGAATTTGAAAGTTAATTATTGATGTTATTTGTTGAACTCAATCATAAACATTTAGATTTTAACGTTAAATGTTTTATTTAAATATATTTTATTTTGAATGTCATATTTTATTTAAATATAAATATGATTTGTAAATAAATTGTCTTCAAATATATTTTATATATGATTAAATTCATTTTATGTTAATGGGTTTTTCACATTTCTACATATTTTGTGAAACCGGCATGAACCGACACAACCTTGTGTATCACTGGTCGAACCATTCTACTTGGTCAACTGGCGAAATGATATAAATCGATTTAACAACCTTGGTTTGAATGTTGTTTTCAATGTGAAAATGAGTATGGATTATGTATGGGTACCCATAACTTTGGATCTGCTTGTAAATGTTTATTTTTAGGCACTAAAATGTAAAATAAAATTTTAAAGGTATATTTTGTATATAATGTTGGACCCGTTTGTATATCTTTATAAAGTTTAAGTACAAAATAGTAATTTTTACATAAAATTTAGTTATGGGATCATGCCATCAGAATCTTCTCCGTCGACCGATCTTACCTTCTCGATGACAACTGCAATCATCATCCAAAGTTCCAAACTCCAAAGTGGTTCATGAATCTCGTGGGCCTAACCCTCTACCGCATAATCCTCCTCCTCCTTACCGCCTCTCTCCCGATTTCCTTCATCTGACTGAACCTCGAGTCCATCCTCCTCTGCTGCGGCAGGATGTCTCCATCTCCGTCGCCGCCACATTCGCCTTCTTCTCCATCTCGAGCCTCTTTCTCCTCTCCTTCCTCCATCCTCTCCGCATCTACCTCTCCACCTAGGGCGTCATCTTCCCGCTCACCACCTCTACTGCCTCTGTTCTCCACCTCCCGCTCAACTTCGTCCTCGCACTTCATTTCAAGCTCGGGATGCCCAGAGTGTAATAGAATGTAGCAATCCAGAAAATCCTTCACTACTAATCATCATTAAGAAAACCCACATTCATCCAGGCATAATCGTGAGTGAGAATGACTGGTTGATAACACAAAACATTTGCAAGGTTTAAAGTTATTGTAGCACTACTCGTACTTCATTTCAAGCTTCGATGTTCTTAGCATGTAAGGTTTAGTTTTAGCATGATAATGAATGGTGATAGCAATAGTTACTGGAAAAGCTGGCTTGGGTTTAATGATGATTATCGACGCTTGGTTCACATCAATATAGGATTTACACAACTAAGTATTATATGCACTAAGTAACAACCAGGTGCTGCAATTCCACAAGTAGTTGATGCTAAAACACTGCCCTCAAATCATAACCAACTTACTGAACTAAAAGATCTAAATAACAACCAAAATGAAATAGCAGCCAAGACCATTCAAAAGCTTTTGCAGTTCCACAACACAACTCAAGCAATGACATGTGGAGATCCGAGCATTTGCCACCAACTTCCCAGAGAGTGTAGAAAGACCAACTTGGAGCACTTACCATCAACACAGCCCAAGCAATGACATAGGCATCACCAACTTGCAATTTTTTGTTCATTCAATTAAGCCATGATCTTCCTAAAACCAAGCAATACCATTAAAAAGTTGTAAGTTTCAAGTTCATATTTTTGTAACCTTAACCACTCTTAAACAACCATTACCATCATAGCTTCTCAATTCTCATATTTCATCACTTGTTCATCACCACCACCATCATTCTCGCAAAAGATGGTTTAACTCAAACCACCAACATCGGGATAAAATATGGCTACACTCCTGCACCTGCAAAAAAAAAAAACTCATAGTAATTTTGATTATTCACAAGATCTGGAATTTGAGTAACTTAAATAGAACAAAAGATGATAAACCTTTGCTAGTACATAGACTAGAATCATGTAGCTAGCTTCTAAAGAAGAAGAAGAAGAAGTTATTGTTGTTGTCTGTTGATGATGATTGTGAAAATATGTAGCTAGTACAGTAGGTAGCTGATGATACACGTTTTTAGACCACAATCAAGACAAAAGAAAATAAAAACCAAAATTGGTTTTAATGCATTCAGTGCCATTCGGCACTTTATTTGACCACAAAAAGCACCATGCATCTGTGTATACTACACTTAAACAACAGTCAAAGGTTCATGCAAAAGTGTAGCACCATTACCTAGCATTACAATCACCATGCATATATGTATAAGATATTGGAAAGCAGTTTATTACCTCGCACTTCATTCACCATCCAGTTATGTGTGCACACAAGAACCTTCACAGTCTGGGCTCAAGTCGGCTATGATAAGGATTCTATAATCTCCCACTTGTGCTAAAAGTTGATTCCGAGACAACTATCGACACTGGAATGGCTAGGTGATCCTTGGGAATCAACCTTAAATTTGGATATTGAAGGCCATGGTTCTTCCACCAAGATAAAATGTCGAACTCTTTACTTCTTCTTATTGTTAGAGAGTGGTATAAGATCCAGCATAACCTTCTCTCAACAACTCGAGTTATTGGGACCAACTGGTTTATGACATGGTATCAGAGCTGGTTTGACCAAGTGGTCGTGTGTTCGAATCTCCACGACCCCAATATTAAAAATTGATTAAAGCACAAAGTATGGTGGGCATGTGCAAACTTCAAGCCCATGGGTTGGCTTTCATTTGAAGGGCATGTTAGAAAGTGGTATAAGATCCAACATAATCTTCTCCCAACAACTCGAGTTATTGGGGCCAACTAGTTTATGACAGGGATCACATCATCATGCAAGTATATGTCCAACTCTTCTTTAATATTCCGATTAGATATGCTACTACCAACATAAGAAACTCAGAATTTGCATGTTGAGGAGGCAGTGGAGTAGAAGATGAATTCATGCTAGGTTATGTAGTCTTGTACTCACTAATAAGATCATAACAAAGATTTCTTATCCTATTGAGATCAAATACATATGTACCAATATAGATTTATGGAAAGGCTCATTCCAATAGCTTCATCTCAAACCTAGGATCCAATATAGTTGAAACTAGTAACGTTTCATGGATAATTTTCCAATATCTACTAAACTTATCCAACATCTCTTCAACCATGGTTGTAATATTTTCATTTAGACTCAACTACCGCTAGCTCAGTGCTATTTTAAGCTCACATACCTTAGGAAAAAATGTCGTAGCAGTGGGGTAAGTAGTTCTTGATAATGTCTTTAAAGCTTCATGAAACCATTTCAACTTTGAACATAATTTATATGACATATCTCATTACTATTTAGTTAAAAACATGCATAAGATGGATCTCTAGTAATAAAAAAAACAAAAGACCTCCTTATATATCAAAACGGTGGATATCATGAGATGAGATATGTAGACTTATCAACGAGTCTTACAATGAAACGCCAAATCACTTGAATAATCAACATGTGATAGTTTGCCTAACACACTAAGCGTTTGCCTTTTCTTAGGAGATCAAGTCAAATAATTAATACTATCATAATCATCTCCATAGACTTCTCAATAATAGGCAACCCATCTTGCACAATTAGATTGAGAATACGTGTAGCACACCGCAATATGACATAGGAAACTATGCAATAACAAAGTATTTTCTTGTAACTTTCCTAACAGAACTCTGATCATAGAAACATTAGTACTACAATTATCCATTGTCACTGTAAAAAATTTCCTATCGATGTCTCACCCCATCATACAATCCGACAACACATCACAAACAACATCTTTAGTATATGAAGAAGAGACATGGACAACACTTAAAATCCTACAATAAAGGACTCAAACATCATTAATAAAGTGAGCAGTTACCACCAAGAACCTTTTCTTTTTACTTGAAGTCTAAATATCAGTGGAAATCACTACCCTATCGGTGACATTTTCTAACTCATGCATCACATTTATCTTCCCTCTTTAAATATCTTTAAGATATCATTCTTGATTGTATTTATAGATATCATATGAAATAATGGTTGAAGAGAATATACAAATATCCTAAACCAACATAACCAACAACAAATAGAGGAAATTCATGAATAAAAAGCATACAAACAAGCTACCTTATAATAGTTTCTTGACAAAAAATAATATGACTCGGACTTCCCATGCCAATTTTCATTTCTAACTACCCAAAAGTCCAGTCACTATAGCTGGATCAACGATTTTTACTGGACATTTAAGCAAATGATTGCGCAAATGAGAAGTTCCATAGTTTGATTCAACAACAAGTTTTTTTGTGACAGTGTTTGCATTCGGCTTTCCTCTACCCACTAATTACAACTTGATCATATTCATTTCGTACATCCGATCACTACTTCTTAGAAGACCATAGCACACGACTGG